CCCGGCCGCCGACCCGCCCAGGGGCGTGCCGCCGCAGCCTCGCCTCGCCTGCCGGCCGCAAGCCGCCCGCCGCCTCTGGCTTCTCCGAGCCGTTGCCGCCAGGACCCTCACCACTGAGCCGGGCAGGTCCTTGACGCAGGCGGGAAGACAGCGCAGCACAACAACCTGAGCCTCCTAACGCGCGAGTGAGGGGGGGCGCCCCGCAGCCCGGCCTTATATATGCCGCCGCCGGGCCCCGCCTTAGGCCCGCCCCCCGCGCCGCGCGGGCCAATCCGAGACACCGGACAACGCGGCCGCGCCTCATATTCATGAGATGCGGGGCTGGGCCTATCCCGGCCCCGCCCCTTGCCACGCGCTGTCGCCTGGCACGGTGATTGGTGGGGTCGTTTCCGAAACGCAGTTCCCCGTCCGCGCACGCGGGGGGCGGGGCGGGGACAGGGCTGACCCACTTCCGCGCGCCCTGTCCCTGCCTCCGGGAACAAAGAGGCCTCAGGCCACGGCTTCCAAGGGCCGGAGCTTTGTGGGCATTCCCCCGGTGTCGCCCGAACCCCGGCCTTGTCTGTGCTCCAGCAATCGCTGATATACCGAACTCACCTGGGGTCCATATCCCCACTAAGGGCCCCAGCTCAGACACCCCGACTTCATCTGAACCCCTGGTCAACATAACCGATACCCCAGTACTCCCAGGGCCCCAATGCTCCTGGATACACCACTTCCCATGATCGACGCCAATACTCCACCCAAACCCCAACACTCAGACTAGCCCCAATATTCACCACCACGATCTCAATTCTTCCTAATTGGCACCCCAACTTCACCCAACCCATGGCCTAAAAACCTCAACCCACCCCTCACCGAACTCCGACTTCACCCACGTCGCCTGCGTCTCACTCCACAACCCTCACCTGGCCCCCAAACCCACGCTCAGCTCAGCCCCCGAAGCCTCACTGCACGCCAATATTCAGCTCAGCATCCAGGCGCCCCCTCACCATGTACTTCCTCAGCCCCCAGACAGCGAAAACGCGACGATTCTGCACACCTGAAATTCTGCACACTTACAACCCACTCACAACCCACTGGAGAGGAAGGGGCCGCTCCGACGCTCCCCTGGTCTTGTCTTGTCTTTCCAAAGACATCTGTTGAGCCTGGCTCTGGGACCATGGAGGATCCCCAAGATCTCTACTATCATTGGGACCAGCTTTGCAAAGACCCTCACCCCTAAGGCTTCTCCCACGGAGCCCGAAGGCCTCTGAGGTCCCCCTTGTGGCCACCGTCTGCCTTTGCCCAGGCCTCGGCTCCAGGCCCCCTTCTGGGGGTGGGAGAAGCCAGTTCTGAGCCCCCACCGGCCCAGACCAGAGATCCAACCTATAACCCTACCCCAGAAAGCCTTCGGAGAGCAGGCCCCCCTGCAGACGACTGGGGTCAGTGATGGGGCAGAAACACCCTCCCTTTTGCTGTTCACCCCTCTCCAAGTGGGTCTCACTGACCCTCACAGCACGGGACAAGGGCAGGGACACTGTCTCCAGGGACAAGGGTGCCCAGACCCCTCATCAGCTCGGGGTCCCCTCCCCCAGGCGGCAGCTGTGTGACTCATTGCCACCCCCCCGCACCTCGAAACCCCACGCCACAGCCCCCCTCCCATGCAACTCCCTGTCAGCAGCAGTAGCTGCTGCGTCAGCCCCTCACGCAGGGTGGTTATTAAAAGGAACAGGGAGAAACATCAGCACTCAGCTCCCCCTCCCGGGGCCCAGTTGAGGTGTGGGGCCCACGCACTGGAGCCCCAGGAAAGCGACTTGTGGGGGGCAGGAGCAATACAGGCCCACCTTTTCTGATTTGCAACCCCAGCAAAGACAGGAGCCACTGCCTCCTGCCCGAGACCAGGCCACGGGGACCCTGGATCCCCCCACTACATTGTCCTCTGGGTCTGTGTCTCTGCCTGTTGCTGCTTTTATGACACGCTGGGCTCATTCATTCATTCATCGCTCCAGTACACAGTTACCAGATGCTCACTGCCAGGCGATCCTCTGTCCTCGTGTGTACCCACGAATGCGCGTACTTTCTGGGCACCCGATTCTTCGCGTGTTCTCACGTTGGCGTGTACCCATAACTCACTGCGGGTACCCGTCCCTACGTGCATCAGCATTTGTACCTGCGTCTCAGGTGTATACTTGTCAGGGTACCTGGTCTCCGTGGTTCCCTGTGTCTGTGCACCCGTGACTCGGTGTCTACCCATGACGGTCCCTGTGTGTCCCGGTGGGGGGGTTCTCAGAGGGTGAGACCACCTTTATCCCTCCGCGGCTTCTGCGGCACTACACCGGACCTGCGCGCGAAGCGCGCTCTGCATCGCAGACACGAGGGGGCGCTGCGGCCTCAGCCTGTCACTCTGGCCGGGGCCTCAGATCCACCCCCGTGGTCCAGGCCCCGAGGGACGGGCCCGGAGTTGGGGGGAGAACATGGCAGAGGGCTCCTCTTGGCGCCCCTAGTCCCCACCGGCCCCGACTGGCCACTGCGCGGACGCCCGTCCCCGCGCAACCCCGCGAGGCGTGCGTGCGCACCTCGGCGCCTGGACACTGGGGGTGGCTTCGCCCGCCGCCCCCACGCCCACCTTTGTCCGCGCGTGGGGAGCGGCGGCTCCGAATAGCCGGGCCGGGGACGGGGATCAAGCGCGAGGTCTCCGGGTCTCTCTCTGTCCTGCAGGCCCCGCGGCCCATTCACAAACCCGCCCCCTCCCCAGCCGTCCGCCCCCGCAGCCCGCAGGCGCCCGCCCCGCCCTACTCCCCCCCCCCGCGCGACGTCGCCCTGGAGACTGGGGTAGGGCCGCGCCTCCCCCGCCTTCCCCGAGGGCCGGGCCTGCCGGACGCCAGGCCTTCTCCGACCCCTCTAATGACCGAGCGGGAGGCGTAATGAGCGTCTGGCCCGGGTCGGGCGCGCCGGGATGAAAGGCGCGTGGGGGGACCCCAGGGCCGCGTAATTAGCGCCCCTCCCGGCCGGGCGGGGGCCGGACTGTGCACCTGGCGGCCGCCTGGCGGGGGCGCGGAGAGGAGCCCAGATGCGCGGGGCCCGAAGCCCGGGTGGGGATACGGGGCCTTGGAGAGGGTCTGCGTGCACCCGTGAGCCCGTAGGCAGGGGGCTCATGGGCACGAAGACGGAGAAATAGGGCCGTGTATGCTCCAGCGCGTGCACACGGGCGTGAAAGCGCGTGCAAGAAACCCAGGCCACTCGTGTGCGTGTGCGGACACAGGAACACGTCTGCATCGGGAGCGTGTACCCATGTTTGCATGGTGCTGTGTGTGCTGCGACCCGATTATAAGTGCACAATTGGGCCTGGACGCCGGAGCAGCTGGGGACAGGGCTGTGTGTGTGTCACATGTGCCCTGCGGTGGGAACTCATGCTTTGTCAGCGACAGGAGGGCCTCGGGGCCTCGGGGGCGGGGGAGACTTAGCAAGAAGCCAGAAGCCCAACAGAGCAAGGGTTAGGCCTGCCCCTCCCCTAGCTCCCACCGGCATCCAATTCCCTAGGAGGCCCCAGGTGTCTGTCACACAGGAGAGCCCAAACAGGACAGCACCCAGGCCTCAATTTCCCTCCTGTTCCTTGGCAGGGTCTCCATGGTGGAGGACAGGCAGGGCAGGGTGAGTGGGGACCCACCAGGCCAGGCCTGGGCCCTGGGTCTGGGTGACTCAGCCCCTCCCCACAGGCCTGAGTCAGGGCTCAGGAATGTGGAGGCCGCAGAAGAGGCCTAACTGCTCCCAGCCGTCCCAGCTGAGGGGGGCCGCGCCTGGGGCGCAAAGGGACACCCCTGGCACACACATCCTGTGGATGCACCATACGTGTGCACACCCGTGTCCCTGCAGTATACCCATGGTGCACAGTCACAAGTACACATGCTCTCAGCATCCCAATGGGCCATACACAACTGCAGCCCTACCAAGTGCACGCACAGCCCACCCTAAATCTCCCGTCCGTGTGCCTGGTGCCAAGAACACGAGACAGTGCAGAGTGAAGCCCGGCCACGCACACAGCTATGTGCCCCCTGGGGTCACACACGTGCTTGCTCTTTCTGTCCTCACGATGCCCCCAGGGACACGAACGGAGGACCCCTTCTACTGAGAGAAACTAAGGCAGGACTGTGGCAAGTGCACAGACGCACCAGGAATACGCATCAGCTTGCATTCATTTACATATACAACGCATACTAAATGCCTGTGGAATACGTGAGCGCACACATGCACAGAAGACCCCAGGGGTCTGGTGGCTGGTGGCTGGCCTGTGTGGGGGCTGGGGACAACCCACCTAGTTTCCAAGACTGGGGGAGGGGCAGGGTCCATAGCCCGCCCCCCAGGCAGCCTCAGATGTTGCGTGGCCCCTGTGCTATCAAGCTCCTGTCCACTCATATGACCACGGGCCCACCTGCGTGTGCATGGAGCCACACAGGATTCCTGCAAGGACGAGGAGAAGCAGAAGGGCCCCTGCCTGGGGCTTGTGGCAGTCACCAGGGTGGAACCAATGGATAGTGACCCCTGGGACAGTCACAGGGGCTAAGGGACATACCAAGTATGAGTCAGGAACGCACAGCAGCACAGGTACACGCCCTGTATACTTGCAGGGCGCCCCATGTGCCCACGGGGTGGGTGCAGTGTACCACACCGTTCAGCCACAAAGCAGGCCCCTCCCGCCCCTCGAGGATCCCAATGGCACAGCCACAGGCTCAAACAGGACTGTAAACATGGCGCAGGACGGGGCAGCGTTTCACTCTGCTTGTACGTAAGGCCGCCGTCACTCCATGGCACCTAACAACAGACACAAGTCAAGAGTCAGCCATGGGCAGGTGGCCAGCTGGGTGGGTAGGCAGCACCCAGGCCCCTCTCTGGCCCTCAGCTGCTTTCTCTGAGAAATGGGCGTCAGAGAGTCAGTGTCCAACAGTGACCACAGAGAAAAGCGTCACAGGCGTGCCCAGTTAATCTGGGTTTTTCTCTTCTTTCTTGATGGTACAGGCCACACAGAATTGCCTACTGTGGCTTTAAGTGTTCAAATTCCACTTGAAATCTCCAACAATAATAAAAAGGCTTTTTAATGGGTAAGTCATGGGGCACTGACACACACACCCCTCCGTCCCCATCCAGATGGCCAGGCTGGGAGCGGCATGTGGCTGGATATGCTTCTGTGGACGGTCGGTAGGCAGTG